AAAACATTCGCTTCTATACTTTTAGTCTGCACTACACTATTTTGTTTTCGGCTACCGGGTTTCACCTCTAAGAAAAAAATGAAAGTTGATATGTATGACTTCGTGAAGGTTGAAAACAGATTAAAGATGAAGCATGATCTGACGAATCTGTAACTAAATAACATGGGAAAATATCAAACAGATCCATTTCCTTATTAATGATGATTCTTATATTACAAGGGATCCATCACAAGCACAAATTGATCTGAGTTATGACGCCATCTAACGAATCATCATCTCCGATCATTGTAAACTTGAAAATATTACCACTCGTTATATGTCACAACAGCTGACTTAGCGGGTGATCATGGAAGATATTGTCTGAATTACAGATCTTGATGATCGTCATTCATGAAACGACGTCTATTATCTTTCAAGCTGTGTTCTGAAAAGTGAAGCTTGGGCATCAAAAACAAATTATAGTTTATCATGAATAATTTTCGTTTGAATATGTAGTGCAATACAAACTTCAATGTAAAAGCGAAAGTCTTCCATATCCAGTTAAATTAGAGACAGACAGCTTTGATGGAAATTCTCAAATTATCATATCAACTGAAAAATAGGGAAATGTTATTGAATTATAGAGCACTGTTTGAAATGTGAGTATGTATGTATAGAGAGAATTTTTTTGAACCTCCTATAAAATATTAATTACAGTACTGACTACCACTAGTTTTGATAGGTTTGGTATTTTTTAATAGAAAACATAAAACCTATGGAAACCATATGTCTGTTTTTGAATAATTCTTTCTAATTTATTATGCGTCTTTAAGACAAAAACATAATTGTTCGAACAAAACAACATATGTCTAACAGATTTTATCTAATTGTTAATATTAGTTCTTAAGGACGAATTATAGCGATATGCGAATCCTAATATACTAAACCAACATTTACAATATACCACGATAAAGATGAGATAATAAGTAGGCTCCAAGAAGAATACAGATTTTGTGAATATTACTGAAGAACGAGTGGCTGAAATTGACAACCAAAAGAATTTGTATGAACATATTTCAACTATTAATAAACTACTTTAGAACTAAGAAAATACTAGACATATTCATCTCCATGATGCTTTGTTTTTTTTTGGTATCAAGATTTGAAATACACATTCTATGAAGAAAAGTCGTTTTTTCGAATATTGAAGACTAAATATTTAAAATTCAAGAGATCAATTTTTGGGGTTAAATATTCTATTATAAATATAGACAAAGAAAATGCAACTAAAAGTAAGTTAATGTAAACTTCGTGTAAGAAGATTGTGAATGTTCGACACATATTTTCTTTAAAAAAGTTTACAGTTATTTTTAGCTACATTTTCTTTCTCTAAAAGTTTAACGATATATCTTTTATTTCTCTGACATCCTAACAGAAAAAATCCGGTATATTAGAATACGACTTGTGCTTACATCTGTCCTACATATAGATATTATTAAATCTCAGTTCATAAAGATGAATCTTTGTTAGACTTCTCTTGGTCTTAAGCCTATTGATGACATTCAAGAATGTTTTATTATAAAAATGATAATGTCTCATATTTCATCATTACAATTTCATATAAAACTTTGGTCTACGACAATTAGTCGTAGTACTGAAAAATAAAATAGGCAAAAGAGTTTTCGTATCACTGCGGAGAAATAACTCAGAAAGATCCAGAAAATAACCAACATTCTATTCAAGGACAAGAACCATTAGATACAAGTATATGAATGTCTAATGAACTCTTCTAATGGGGCATGAAGCTTTACACTAAAGTAATTAGCACATCATTTCTTTAAAAAGAATGTTTCTATAATCTTACATGATTTTTCCTTATTTGAAACTTTCTACGCGCTTGATCTCGTTTACATTAATACAACTAGAACTATTCCAGGCAACTGAAGATTTTTTGATATTAGTGTTGTTGTGGACGATTTTTGTTTGCCAAGTAACTATTCAATTTCCTTTTTTATTAACATAATCCTCTTGTCAACTGTCGAACAAAACTATTCAACTGTCTCTTTCCGATTTCAGGAATGTTTTTTGCCTATAGGTACTACATAATATTCTAATAAAAACTCCAACAAGATTTTGATTTCTATTGATATTTAACGAAGGTATGAAGTTTTTAATACACCTATTTCCTGGAAGTTTCAGATTTTTGTAAAACTCGTATTTTCGAATTTTGATCTGAAAGTCTATGCATATAGAAAACTCAACTAAACTAGCTTCCATAGAAAAAATTTACAAGTTTTGAACAAAATCTCTTCGAGATATGAAACTATCAAAAACTACGTGTTTGTATATATTATCCATGGAAAAGACTTTATCTTGAATGTCCTAAATCTGAAAGAGACTTTGTTCATAACGTCGGACATTTTTTTTTATACAAGCAAGTCTAGTTGAGTTTTCCATATATACAAAGTTTCAGTTCAATATTTGAAAACAAATAGACATTAAAAATTTCATAACCTAGTCAAATCTATACTAGAACCTAAATCTTTTAAGGGTTTTTATTGGAAAACTATTTAGTATCTATAGACAAAAAATACCATTGGAATTGAAAGGGGACAGCTGAAGAAGTTCTTTCGTAAGCGAATGCTTTTAACTTATTCAGCATTAAGTAATGGGATAGAAATCAACAAATAACTGTACGTTAAATTTTTTCTGGGAGTGGCCAATAACTAGCTAAAACCTTAGTTCTTCATTTGTTCATGTACACAAAAAATGTCAGATATTGGTAGAAAAAGAAACTCGGATAGAATCCGGTTGAGTCCGAGTCTACGACGACGTGAGCTCACATCTCCCTATTCTGTTTATTGTGATTTTTGTCTTTTCCTAACATTTCGATAAATAAAAAATTTGAATGTCAATATTCAATTACCGTTTACCAGCAAGATCATCTATGAATCCGTTTCAAAACGTAAATCTTCATTGTTCATATTTCATCCTCATCCTTGCACGGTACTGTATATGACTGAATCACATGTCTGCGAATTGAGATTTGAAGGAGGTGAAATAGAAGCCATGCTTTTGTCAAACATGCGACCAATTGATGTCGTCTTATTGTCGTTTTCCCATGAAAGTTATATTTTACAAAACTTGATCTAATCTATTTTTACCAAGAGAATTTCTACTATACGATTAAAAAACATCTGACATCATTATTATTATGTTTTTTGTTTTGTAAAATCCCTATTAAGTATCTTACAGTTTAAGTTGTTCAGGTGTTTTAAATGGTAAATGTTCATGACTAATTTGATCTTCATTCCATGGAAGTCGAAGATCTCCACGAGTAATTTGAAATATTTTATATCTAAATAAATTTTCATAGAAAGAATTCATTGAATAAATTATACAAAAAAAAAAACAAATTTTTACAAAAGAGTAAAAGCATTTTGATCAAGATCATCCATGGATAATATAGCAACCGGATGATAAGCTAACATCATTCGAAAAAATAATCCACGAATATCTTCAGATATTTTATAACAATTAGTTATTATTCGTTTTAATCTAAATTTTAAAAATAAAAGTAAAAGTAAAAATTATTTTTTTGATTAAAGCTTCTATTGAATATACAGAACTCTTTCAATAAGAGATGATTACGATTTGTGGTTGTTGTTGAACCAAACATTGATTTATATTGATTTGTTAAATTTTTTAAATTTTCAATTGATGTTTTTTTAGATTTATTTGTTTTTGATTGACAATGAAAACGTTTAGAAAAATCACGCATTTCATCACTAGTTAATAAACGAAGACCAGCATCGAGATCATCTAATGATGATACTTAAAAAAGAAAAATTTTCTATTTTAATAAAAATTTTATTTTCACATAAATCTAAAATTTCTTACTATCTTGCAATAAACCTATTTCTACAAGTGGTATTAAACTATCTTCATCATTTGTTACATTTGATATTTCATAATTAATAGTCGATCGTCGAAGCCATTTACAACGGCGCATTAATAAACGAACAAAAATAATTTGTGATGAAGCTGAATAAAATATTTATCGTAGAGACTAAAAAGAAAAGGAAAAACTAACCAGATAATGTTTGAAATTTGTCAAACAACATTAATTCATTTTCATCAAATAAATGTTGATAATATTTGAGTAATGATGAAAGAATTAACAAGAATTTATCCAAATAAAATTGATTTAATGAAAAATTAGTTTCGAAATTTTCATTAATTTGTGAACTGTCCTCATTGTTTATTGTTTGTGAATCTGACTTTGTTCGTTTTAATTTTTTGTTATTCTCATATTCAGTTGTTGATAATCGTTTATTTGTTTGTTGACTAGATGTTGTTGAATCATTTGAACCATCATCATTATTATTATTAGTGACTAATTTACTAATTGTTGCTGATGTTTTAATTTTAAAAAATTTATCCAATCGACTTTGTTGCATCTGTAATTATAATGTTTTCTATTTCTCTCTACAATCCATCAATTCTTTATTTCTGTTCTGTTTCTTATTTTTAAAAAAACATATCTATATGTTTTTTCCAAAGATAAATATATTTATTCATTTATTTTTCGAAGAAGAGAGAGACAGAGAGAAAAAAAGAAGAAAAGAAAAAAAGATTTATAAAATATAAAAGTTTGACGACAATAAATAAACAGACAACCACCAAAAGTACACATGTGTACATATTATGGGCATATACACAAAACGATTAAGAAAGAAAACAAAAAAGAAAGAGTGACTGTATATGGTGTACTACGTCTAGTGAAAATTATGCGTAAAAAGCAAAAATTGCACAAAAGAAAGAGAGGCGGCAGCAGCAGCATGATGATGATGATGAATGACTAGAAGAAGATGATAGAGAGAAACAAAAAATATTTTAATTGAATAAAATTAACTCGAAACAAAAGAGAAAAAACGAAAGAAATGTACGCACACAGACAAAAACAACAATCAAATGACTAGAGTTCATAGAGAGTATGAAAATTATGCCTTTTAAAATGTTTACATATCGGTTTGATCTATTATTATTTTATTCGAACGATTTGTTGATGGTGATTTTGGTTGAGCATTTGTTGTTGAATTTGATGTTATCGCAGGTGCTGTTATTGGTATCGTCGTTGAAAATTGTACTGGTGCTGTTGATGATGATGTTGTTAATGATGATAATGATGATGTTGCTAATGGTATTGTTGATGATGATGATGTATGTAATGATTGAAATGGTGATGGTGTTGGATTTCTTCGAGTTTCAGTATGTGGTATTGGCATGTGATCAGTTTTAACAACTGTTATTGTTGATGATACAGTATCATTTGTTGATGATTGATGTGATAATATAGGTGTCATTGGTAATGGTTGTTTTAAATTAACAGTTAAGTCATCACGTAATGCACGACGACCATCGTTAGCATCATCTTTAGGAACTTCACCACGTTCTAAACAACGCCAATCAGCATTTTGATATGAAAAGTCTTTAAATTCATCTTGATTAATAGCTTTAACAATAACAGCTTCAATTGGTGTAAATGCTACAGGCATATTTGTAAAATCTTTATCGAAATTACTTGTATCTCGTGGATTAACCTATTTAATACAAAACAAAATAGATCCTATTGAGAGAAAAAAAAAAACATTTTAAAATTACATACCACTTTTGGTTTAAATGGTGGTTTAACTTGTCGACGTTCTAATGCTTCCCAATCAATTTTACCAGCAAAAAATGCATGACGTTTTATTGCATCTTCACCACCTTGTGCAGCTACACAACCAAGACGTTTAGCAGGATTTTTTGTCATGAACTAAATTTAATAAATAAACATTCGATAATGGCGATTAGAAGTTTTTTTCGATGATTTTTGACTACGAAAAGGAGTCAACAGTGTTCTATAAATTTTGGGTCTCGACGATAATTGCTATTCATTTCAAAATATCATATACTCCACTATTTTTTGGAATAAATTTTGATAGAAACATCATAGGAACCTGCGGTTTTCGTCATTCTAGAGGGCAGACTCGATCCATCGAAATTTGATTGGTCAGAGATTACACTAATGAGGTGAGTTTTTGAAAACGATAGTCTGAGATGATTTCTTTTTTATTTACACTTTTAAAAACGCTAATCGATAGAAAACATTCTTCTCTTTCACTCAACGCATAGCCGATATTCCTAGCTTGTTCCGTTCAAGAGTTATAAGACTTTTGAGACTCGATTTCAGCCTATTGCTCTATGATGACGCAGAAAAGTAGCTAGGCATCGGTAATATATCGTGCTGAGTCGAATTATGATATTTGTTTTTAGGTTTGAATTGATCTTACATTGTTATCTCAATATTTTCGAAATGTCGATTTTCGTTGCATGGAGGCTAATTGTAGAATTTCAGAAATATTAAGATAGCAGAGTCAGATCATTTGAAACCTACAAGCAAATATCACCATTCGACTCAGTATGTTGAATTACCTTTGTTTACGTGCTTTTCCTGGTGATTATAGAAAAATTGGCTGAAATCGGAGATGTCAGAAGAAGTCTTTTAACTCTCGAATATAACAAGCTAAGAATGTAGGTCTTTTGTAGACCGAAAGAGAAATAACTTAAGAATATCATTTCCGAAAATCTTCACCAAGAGCTCAATCGATCGGTTCATTGCTGACTAATCAAACTTTGATGACCCCAGATCTTTCTTCTGAAATGGTGAAAACCGCAAGTCTATATGATGTTCCTATCAAAAGTTATTCAAAAAAATAGAGGAGCACATTATTTTATGAAATGGATAGTAGTTTATATGTAGATAAAGGGTAATAATAGTAGCGACATAAACAGAAGAAAGGTAATAATTAAAATCTCGGAATTGACCAGTATTATGTTTTTTATTCTTTGTTCAATATATTCTTTCCCTGAAATTTGAGCATACTTCTCCCTACCCTTTTTCTTTTAATATTTTCCATATAATACCAACGGATTATGCATCTCTCTCTTTATAAGGAAAACTCTTGCAGCATATAATTCATTCATAATTCGTAATACAATCAGTGTTCTATGGAATTTTTTTTCAATAAATTGGGAATTTAAGTTACATAAGAACGTGAATAGTTACTCATAATATCTGTCGAAAAACTTATTTAGATACTACATATTGCCTTGTATAATTGTATTACGTTACATATAATGAATTCATCGCTCATTAAAATTTCTTAAAAATATATTGGTCGATTTCAAGATTTTAATACTCACATTTCTTCTGTTTATATCTCTACTATTAAAATAGATGTTATGTGCAATATCGTCCTAAGTACTCGAAGCTCATATAAATATAATTGACTAATAATCACTCTTTGTTTAGATATTGACTAATTTTCGCTGCGATCCAGAACTGATGAGGTATCCCTCGCATGTAAACTTCTAGCGCAAGACTTTTTCTATATAATAATGTATACAGTATCATGTTCTACTGCATACATTATTAAATAGAGAAAATAGTATCTACTAATCTGTAGTCAAAATGTTATAGTTGCTTTAATTTTTTAAAACTCGTCTTTAATTATTTACTGATTTAAGAATGTGTACAGCTTCTTTTGATAACCAAACAGGATAAAGTACTTCATCACGTAGAATAGATTCAAATAAACTATCTTCATCATCAGCTTCAAATGGTGGCTGTCCAGCCATCATTTCATACATTAATACACCTAATGCCCACCAATCAACAGAAAATGAATAATCAAGTTCTTGAAGTATTTCAGGTGCAATATAATCTAATCGAATAAATCATAAAAAATAATTCAAATACAAAAACAAAAAATATGCATATATATTTATACCAGGTGTGCCACAAAATGTAGACGTTAATTTTCCATCAAATATACCTTCTTTGCACATACCAAAACTAGAACAAAAGAAACATATTAATTTCTAGTCAATTAAACCTATAGATTTCACCAAAGGGAGAAAACACTGATTCTATAGCATTAGAACCACTCGGAATCAATAATATCACTTGGAATCAACTGTTTTTCCTTCGGTAGTTTCCTGAGGACATCTTAAATCACTCTTTTTTTTCGTTTGAGTGATATAGAAGATCGTTCTATCTGATCATAATAACTAACATTAGAGTTGAGAAGTTATCATTACGTTTTATCAAGTTTAACCGAAAATTTTTGAAGGCGAAGAATCCGAATCTGTTATCAATTTCTCAAAATGGTATATTTGACTTCTTGATGTAGTAGAGGCTATAGTATTAAGATCCTTGACCGAGAAATCAAATACACGGTTCTGAGAAACTGATTACAGATTCGGATTCTTCGACCAAAAAAACTTTTGATCATATTTTATAAAAAAATCATGGTTTTCCTTCAATAATTATTTCCTGACGAAAGAATCAAATGCACGAATTTTCTATTAGCTATTACTTAGTAACGTAGCGGTAATTTTCCTCCCGCGTTTTAGCAGTCGGAATCAGCTTTTCTCTCTCGCTGAGCTCCACTTACGAAGATAATTACAACGAGTAGAAAATATTTTACCTTCATATACAGTTAATTGATTATTACTCTAATTGTAAAAGTAATCCTGAGAAGATTTGTTTGTGTAATAACTATAGATGTATGGGAAATTCGGCTTATTCAACGAGAAATGATCTACATCAGTCTAATTTTCTTGAGAGTACGTTCCCTTTCGTGATCCAAACTTTGCCTTTAAACGTTGATTCAAAAGAAGAACATGTGTTTTTTACGATACTTTCGAGATTTTGGCTTTTTTATTCGCAGGAAAAAAAAATAAAAAGATTCTCACTTCAAACAATGTCTATTATCGGTAAAAAAAAACATTCTCAACTTATCGAATATAGCATCTCAGAGAAACAAAGCCATTTTTTTTGCCATTGTAATCTTAATATCTTATAGAAGACGGCATCCGGGAATTTTCAGTCTATGACAGTTTTTGCTCTATTCATCAAGATGTACCTACTCTGAAAATTTTCTTGGAGATACTTAAGATTAGATCTCAGAGATAATTTTAAGCTTTTCTAAAACTCACTTTTTTATGAAAGAAATAAATAAAGGTCGGGAGTCAAAACCGAAGGTTTTCAAGCATCTGTGATGATTTTTCTCAATTTGATCGGTTTTACCATCTTCGAGAGCCAGCACGATCAAAAACAGAGTGAGTACCCTTAATACAATTGTAGTTTGATCAAACGCATTAAAAAAACTGACTCACGAAGAGAATATGCGATTCCTATTCTAGAATATGGCTATGAAAAAAAAGCTGTCTTTTACTAAACTATTCTCGCAAAGACTTATCTCTATGCAAAGTTTTCTATCGAAATTTGGAAATAGTTTTTCTCAACGTTCCTCAGAAAAACCATGGCATTCATTTCAAAACTGCAATATCTCAACAGCAATAGAGTTCAGATTCCGAACTTGTTTCAGTGTTCATAGGTCGGTCATTAGAGTCTACATAATGCATATAATCTTGACTGGAAAGCTATTACACCATCAGAGCACTTTCTTCCTGCTAAAACTAAAACAAACAAAAATCTAAGAAGTTTCGTGAAGCTTGTCAAACGTGAAGGAAATGTTAAGGATTGTGATATCTTTTTTAGTGTTGTTCGACATATGATTTAGTATCAATGAGCAAATTAATTTCTTTCACCATAAAACCACAATATTAAAATTCTAGCAAAAAATATTAGCATTAATTTTCTTACACTATACTTATTAAAACTCATTGAATAATCTGTATAAAAAAGAACAACATAAAACTATCAAAATACTAACAAACAACAATTTTACATACTCAGCAATTTTACAATGACCTTCAGCATCGAGTAAAATATTATCAAGTTTGAGATCACTGTAGAAAAAAAGAAAGGAAATTTCATTTTGCAAAAAAAAAAAAATTTTTTTTTTGTCTATGATTCATACCGGTAAATCACACCATGTCGATGTAAAAACATTAATGCTAATGTAACTTCTGATGCATAGAAACGTGCACGTGATTCATCAAATTTTCTTGACCGCTGAATTTGAAACATTAAATCTCCACCATTAACATATTCCATAATTAAAAATAAACGTTCCTTTAAAAATTAAATTTATTTCATTAAAAAAAACAAGTTAAATCTTAACCAAAAGAAGAAACAATCTACCTTCGTTTGAAAACTACAAAATAATCCAGTTAAAAATGGATGTCGTGTTGATAAAGCTAATATTCGTCGTTCAGTCATTGTACATTCAACATCATCATTTTGTATAATTGCATCTTTATTAAGTACTTTTATAGCAAATGTTTCACCAGTTGCTTTATGTTCACCTAATAAAACCTAAATAAAAATATTATTATTTTAAGTTTTCGTTTTAAAATTCAAAGTACTTTTCCAAATGATCCTTTGCCAAGTACTTTCATAAAATGAAAATCATCAATAGTATAATGATGTTGTCGTTTAATTAAACTATCATCGGATAATGATGATGGAGGAGGTGTAGGGGTTTTTGCTGTTTTTGCAGTTGTTTCAGGAGTTGATGGTGCTAAATAAAATAAATCAATATTTTATTTAAAGTTGTTGAGAATTCGAAAGTTTTTATTGGTCATGATTGGATAGAACTCATTGATTTACCTATAAAAATTGAATAAGATAATAAAACACAGAATGATCACTATGAATTTCCCCGAAAATCAAACCATGAGTTTTTCAGCCTCCATAATTCGAATATAACATTTTCTCGTATTACATAAAATGGTAGAACAAGCCATTCTCGATAACATTATATGTCTACGACCATTTTGGGACGTTTTTTCATCCAGTCGTTCGGGAGTGCATCTTATCAATATATCGGAGACACCAATATTCTATTGTAATGGATGTTTTATCAGTGGCTCTTCTCGAAGGCAAAAGAATTATGGAAAGCACAAGTAAAAGTATTCGAAATTACCAGTGAGAGGATATTAGGATCGAAATTTGACAAAAATCAGTTTTAATTATACTGTTTATTTCTTTTGTAACTGAAGTTAGTGTCTTATCCGAATTCGATTTAAAACTCGAGTAGGACGAATATTAATTTTAGGAATTCAAACACATAGGACGTAGCGACGGTGTTAGAACTTTTGATCAGGGGGGCTGAACTCCAGGCACCGCCACTAATCGCACGTGGTACAATAACCGCAAATTCTGAAAGAGTCGAGCTGACTTTTGGAAGGGCGTTGCCCTCATGCTGGATAAAATACTGACTAAAGTTTTTGTGGTCAGAATTTTAGAATACAAACTCGTCTTCAATTTTCATAGGTAATTCAACGAGTTTTATCCAATCATAGCAAAACAATTTTGTCGATATCTAAATTTCTTGGGAAAATGAAAGATTAATATTCTTACTGTCGACTTCACTTGGAGGATTAATCTAAATGAAAAACAAAACAACAAAAATTATTTTTTTTATATTAATATTTTATTAGATTTACCATTTTTTGAGGTTCAGTACTAATATTAAGATCAGCAAGAACAGTGGCAAGTTTTTTCTTATCCAATCCACAATCATTTGCAACATTTCGTGTACAACGTTTGTGTACATTTAATTTACATTCTATTTTTAAAAAGAAAAGAAAAGACATATTTTATATAACTTTATTTAATATTTTGAAATTAACTTATAGAAAATTCTAGTCTAATAAAATTTTAAAAATCAAAGTTCTTAAACTCCATTCTGTTTGATATTAATTTCGAAAAATGAATTCACGTATAGAAATTGAATTGTCTTATGAGCAAGGTCTCCCGACTCAACTATGAATCAGAAAAACTGATTTTCAAATTTTAACTTGAAACTTTGCGTACACAAACAATCCTTCAGACGAATAGCTTATTGTGAGAAAGCTTCATATTTTGTCGTTATTTCTATGATAAAAGCATCTCTTGTATCTAACGGCAGATTCGATGTTTTTATTTCAAGATAGAAGCAAATTAAAAGACTTGAAATTTGAAAATCAATTTTTCTCGTAGATTGCAGTATTTCCGAAGCAATCAACAAAGAGCTCGAAACTCTTTTCAGGATATTTTAAATGCAAATTTCATTCTCTATAGAATTCTTTAAATTTAATTAAAACACGAGATTGTATACTTGAATATTGAATTTTCTTAAATTTTATCAACCATATATATCATTTTTTTTAGTGTAATATCAGCTTGTCCATTTTCAGGATTACAATGACTAACTACAAGGAAAAGGGATGTGCAAAGTAGAAGATTAACTTCGACTGAGATCTTTCTTCAATGGTGAAAACGTATCTCTAATTTATTTCTAAAGAGACTTTATTATTTGCATGATCATCTGACGTGTACTTTATTACGAGAAATATGAACAATAGCATACAAGAACATAACACAAGGAAAAAGAGATGATTTTTTAGTAGCATATAGAATCATAATCTGTATATTTTTACAATGAAATTCAAGCATAGAAAGATGTTTATACGGCAGTAAGTTGGTTCATAGGTCCTCTCTACACTGACACCTGTACAAACAGTTAATCTATATTGCTAAAACAGTTAAGCCGATAATTGAATATTAACTGTCAAGGACAATGGAGGATGTATATGGTTTCAATCTGAATGTTCCTGGGTATGATAACCCTGCACATATCTATTCGTCAATTCAGTTTCATTGATTAAGCTATTCATTTTCGTTTTGCTATTATGTTATAAAAAATCAATTCAGTGATGACTAACAATCATTAAATCTCAGATACAATCTTTCAGTAAAATATATCAGCATGTTAATGTTTCTCCATAAATTCTTTAAAAAGTTATCGAATTTTATTATTTATTTTACGATCGATATCGAAATATTTCAAAAGATTCAAAATTTTTCAGCAGATTTTATTTTTTACAGACTATGCAACGTATTATGAGTCATTTAACTTTGTTTTCAAATTTTAACAGTCAAACTAGATATTTATTGGTCAATTGTTATAGTTACAGAAGTTTACGTCAGCTTATTACATTCTCTCGCTTGTATATCATTTGCCAGATGTTAGTGTTTCTTTTCTGTTCGAACAGATGTTCTCGTTAATTTTTTCATCATTTATCTGTAACGCATTTCTATTTCTCTTTTATATAAAATTTTTATCACTAATAGAACTTTAAGTTTCTTTTCAAAAACAAAAAAAAAAATCTCATGTCTTACCTCTACATTGCATTCCTTGATTCCATGCTCCCCATAAAAGTGATCCACAATGATCACAAAAAGTAAATAATCGATATGTATGTGCAACAAATCGATGTGGGACATTTATTTTAAATCTTTTTTCACGATACTAAATACACAGAAGAAAATACTTATTATTATTTTTTTTCATAGAATTTTCTTTTTTCATACTTCAAAACAAGTTCGAATTCCTGGACATGTTGTAACAACTGATGCCTTACAACGTTTATGTATCACACATGTACATACTAAAAAAATAAAATAGATTATTATATTTCTATGAAATATATCTTCAACACAACAAACAAAAGCAAAAGACAAAAAGGGAATCAATAAAAAAAAAACAAGTGTTTGGGAAGCAATATGAACACATATCCTACCTTGGCATTGATAACCTTGTGTACGAAATATACCCCTGGAAAAATGAGGAGATTTTCCTACTTATCTCTTAGCTCGACAAAATTAACAAAAAACAACAAATAAAACAGCAAAGAAACTTACCAAATAAATTCTGAACAAATTGAGCAAAATGTTGGTTGTCGAAAAAAAGTTGCCATAAATTTATGTCCATTTATTTCATAAACACGACGAACAACAGCAAAACGACGTTGAGCAAAAGCTCGTTTATTTTGTTTAAAATGTCGTTCATTACTAACAGCTAAAGACCAACATAAAAAGTTTATATTTTGAAAAAAAAAAAAAGAATTTTTTTTCTTAAACTTACAATCACTAAATTGTCCTTGTAATTCAATAGCAACATGAATTCGTCCAGATGGTTCAAGATCAATCCATATGTCACTTTTTTTATCATGAATATTTTCAAATTTTATTGTACAGTCAGCAACAAATTCATCAGGTGGTAATGCAGCGTCATGAAATATTGTAAAATGTAATTGATGACCATTATGAACATCACTTGAAAATTCTTCATTATATGTTGGTGATGTTGTTTTATCTTTCGTATGTGTACGTCCTAATGGTAAATCATCAATATCAATTGATACATATGGACTAACAAAAGCTAATGACGGATTTTGAGGAAAATAACGTGTTGAATGTTCTGTTGCACGTATTTTATCGGCTTCAATAACTTTTAAACGCATTTTGCCATTAAAAATTACCATTGTTTCAAGATTTTTAGTTTTTATTTCTTCTGATTAATCTTGAAAGATGAATAAGAACATGACTATCTGCTGTTGCTTTTGCTGCTGTTGACAATATACAGAAAAGAAAATAAACAACAATAATAGAAGCAATGAGAAATATAGTAGCCATTTTAATTTAGTTTATATGAATATGTTTAGATCCTTCATAAGTATTATTTTAATAAATTCTATATCGATTTATTATTGAAATTAAATGAAAACAATTGAATTTTTTGTTTAAAATAAATTAATATTTGGATTTAGATAAAGAGATGTCACTAGTTGACGCCGCGAAATAAAGATTTTTCTTTGGATAAGAATTTATCAAACAAAGGAGTTTTTTTTCTATGATGTAACATTGCTCTGATTGCACAGTGAGAAATTAAATTATTTTCTAGGAAAATTTTATTGAATACCATAGAAATCGTTATTTAATGCGAAAACAAAAAATAGCGAAGTATTTATTTAATAGTTGAGGTAATATGTTAGTAATACATTATGGGAAGGTTTAAATGACAATATCCTAGAATAGAATTCATTTTGTTTTTTTTTACTTCTACATTGACTGTATGTGTTTTTTGTGTTACTTTATCCTGCTAATTTCATATTGATAGGTTTCTATTGTCTTTTCGTCTTTCTTACTATATTAAATATATAAACTTTTTTTGAGAATTGCTACAGGTTTTTCTTTTTAGTTGTTGTCTGTACACAAAATGATAACATATATATGTAGTAAAAATTTGCTCAATGTATTAACATAAAATTTATATAAATTGACATAAGTGAGTTAGTCTTTAATGTCGAAGAATGGCAGCAAATGCAATAATTGCTGACATAATAATTGATATGCTAAGTGTAGATTTTATTCGTATCGGCTTGGAAGATAAATCGTGAAATGCATTCTTGCATATACAAGTCAATATTTGTTATACTTCTATATAGTTTCATAAAACATTATATTCAACTGTTCTAGCTAATATGAAGAATTCCCAAATGTTACATGTAACTTATTTTAATTTTATGTTTATTAATCATATGTGTAATTTCGAAGATCGACTTGATGTATTTATATACATTTTTTTCTTTAATATAATTTTGAATTCTATTTATTTGTAAAATAATGATCAATAAAACAACTGTCAATATAATACTTTTTTGATTATATTTAATGTCGATCAATAATAGAATTATTTTGTTTCTGACACAAACGATAAGATTAACACATAGATCGGCTGTAATAGTTATTTGTGTTTTTTTTTCTCTTCTTATTGCTTAAAATACATCGTCATAGAAGAAGAACGGAAAAATTCAGAATTGAGAATAATCAATGGAGTAAATGAAAAAAAAAAACAAGCAAATTTTAGATAGCGTTCTTTTTATTTCCGTTTTGATGTATATTGTAAAACTAGACTCATTGACATCTAGGAACAAAAGAAAACTTATATTATCATCAATTATATTTTGTTTACAAGTAGTTAATAATCGTGAATTTGATTGAACTCTATAGAGATGGACAATGAATGGTTTTATTCGATGTTTTTTTTTTCCTTTAGCAAAAAACAAACAAATAATTATCAAGATAAGGATCAAGCGTAGTTAGTTGAATGAAAAATTTATTTACAACTTAATATTTATGGATAGAAACAGCGGCAACATAGAATAAATTAAAGAGTCGTTTGCTTTCTCAGCTTATTAACAAAACTGGAATCGAAAATAGTCATAGTCACAGACATTTTCTTATTAAGTATATTCAATGGAAAATAAGTCTTGTAATTTATATTAGGGTTTAGACATGTGTATCGATTTATGAGAAAAAAAAAGCACATATCAACAAGACTGTAGAACATAGATTCAGATTAGGAGTGTTTCAAGGTCGTCAAGATTGGAGGATAGAAGACTTAGGAAGTTCATCAGAGGATTTTCGTTGAAGTTAACTGAACTTGGGAGAGGGAAGATACGCGCTGTGTTGGGAATTGCTGAGCAAACATACCATGAAGCGCTGGAGAAAAACGCAAATTTTTCAAGATTGGGAAAATCATTCAATGGTCGGAACGTCTCTGACTCTAATACAAAACTTCCAAACATATCAAAACATGTACTTATGCTTGATTGAATTAAAATTAAAAGTTTATTACTAATCATATTTAATATGTATATAATCATTTGAATTACAAACTGTGCCATTATAGAAATGTAACATTTGTTTGATAAAGTTAATTTCTAAAAGTTATCTTCAGAAAAAAAAAGTTTCTTGCAAATGAGAAAGTCATACTTGTTTTTTTCTTTCAAATGAATGAACTCAACATCAAAGACAAACATGTTTCGTTAGTGCGGTGCAAATTACAGGATTTATATGGTCAGTTGCGTACGTATTCGACCTCCATACTTTGTATCGATGATCTACAGAATGGCGAATCGCTAGAAGTTCGTTCAAACTTTGTCACAGAGATTGATGTCTCGAGATGATGCAAACCTTTTTGCCTCTGCCATATGAGTTTTCGTTCATCTTCAGTAAGCTCAGTATAACGGTAATTTTGACGATTTGGCCTCCATCTTTTACCAGAAATAATGAAAGCTTTTGACAGGACAGGATTGACTTTAGGTGAAATTGTTTTTCATTCTTATTTTAATTGAAGCTTCATTGCCGAAAATTGAGATCGTTTCGCACCGCATTTATGTAGTCTTTTGCGAATTTTCTCCTTTTACTAACCAGACATACGCATCACAAGTTACCATATTATGTTGCGATAATCCCGAGAATAGGAAGTTAGAAAATATGCAGATAGACGATCTTATACTAGTTTATTTACGCATCGAAAAAACGTCAAAGTTATTTTTAACAACGTGGATTTGTAGAGATTCTTCTTTCATACCAAACTCTTATAGCTATTTAAAATCAAAACTAGGGATGTCCGATTAGCGTTAGCATTGCATTAATTCATACTTGTTTAAATGCTTTTGTATTAGAGTTTTCTTAACACTAATGTTAATCGGACACCCCTAATCAAAACAGATTCTATATGTTAAGCTCTTTACCTTTGTTACACTATAAATAGCAAGAGTAAAAAAAGCTTATTGCAGTCCCAGAAACAGAGTGGACATGTATCTCACTAAACAAAAATGGATCAAACCAAACTTAACATAGCGCGTTGTTCTAAAATTCATCCTTTATCTGCATAGGACTACGGTTTAAGTAATATAATTTGTTTTGATTTATTTGAAATGAGTCAAAAACATTATAGATGATGAGAGTACGATTATAATTTTCATATAAAGTTGACTTTTGAAAACGAAGATGAATCAGATCGAAAATATCATTGAATAAACCCATATGAACATATATCAATAAACATTTCAATAATGTATTATGAATTTTATAGATCAAATCAAACTCTGTAAACAATGAATTCATATGGAAAGAGTTTTCTAAAAAATAATTTTTTTTTCTACAAAGAACCCAAATCGGAAACCTATGATTGCATATGACTGTAAACGGCAAAATACGATGAAAAACAATCATCGCACACACTCATCATAAACGATAAGCGTATACGACGACATACGACCTTATACGATGATCGTTTACGACTATTACAACCGTCAGTTGTAAACGAGGGCCGTATACGATCCTAGTTTTGTCGTTGGTGTCTTTTACACAAAAACTTACGCCTATCATAGACTTATGCTAAAGAGAATTTTATTACGACGTATGGTTTCTCTTTAGTTCTGTAGAGGGCGAGATATCATTGAACATGTGGTCTCCTTAGCGTAGCGCTAATGTTAAAATATTTGAGATATAAGCATAATTTAATGCGTAAATTTTCAACGTGGCGCATTCATTCAGTATACAATTTCAATGTTCATTAAAAAAAGTTAATGATGTTATGTAATCCAACTTGCCTCTCATCAGATGTACAGTCCTCAAAGCGAAAGTCGTCTATACTTTATTATTTTTTATATACTCATTTCTATCACTAAAATTGAAACCACATATTGGATATTAAAATTTTATTTTTTTTACCCATTCACGGTGACATAACTATGGCTTCTTCACAATTCGTGAAAGGTTCCATTGCTTCATTTGTAGCAACTGTAGTACTTTAAAACAACTTTTACTAACCTTTCTCTTATCAATATAAGCTATGAACATTCCTTTATCAACGGTTAAAGAATCAGCCCCTTCGGTCCTAATATAGCAGAAATATTTAGTTTTTTGTGCGATAAATGAGCTTTTGAGCCACTCTATAGTGGGATCCACGGGTGGGTCCCATTGCCTCGAAAGGGTTAATCCTTATATCTATTCTTAATTCTTAAATCTATCCTTAACCCTTATATGTATCGTTGACTGCCTAAACCTTAATGCGAACTTTCATATATCTATTCTTAGCTGCTTATGTTTAAAGCTACATCCTTATATCTATCGTTACCCTTTTATTCCTGTATCTAAGCTCTTAAATCTATCTTTTAATTCCTGATAGCTATATCTTTACCATTATATCTATTCGTAACTGCTTAAACTTGCACCTACACTCTTATATCTATCCCTAACGGCTTATTGCGGTTTCTAAACCTTCATATATCCTCTTAGCCATTTGTATCTAATTATATCTAAACTCGTATATTGATCATTAACCCCTTATCCCTAAATCGAAACGCTTACAGGCATCCTTAACAGTCTATTCTTAAGTCAATTTCATGATATCAATTGTTCATCTCATTATTGCTAAATCGAACCTCTAAACCCATTCTTAACAGTTCATTCCTAAATTTAAACTCTTGATGTCTATCATTAAAACATTATTTCTATATCTTAATGTATTTATCTAGCCGTAAGACGTTAGTTCTTTGCCGAACAATAGTGCTCATTTGTGATATATGAAGTCTGAGAGCAGTCGTTCAATATCCAGAATGGACTGTAGCGTCTATGTAAATGCAGAAACAGACCAATGATGTCAGATCAGCCCACTGTCTGATTGGGGAACATGTGCTCTTGGTATTGATAGTATAAGAAAAAAGATTGGTTTCATGCGAAACCCCTAGACAGTGAAACCTCTAAAAGATTTTGTACGAAACTTTTTCTTACCATCAAAAATCACGTATGATTTTCACGAAACTTGATTGGCTACGAAACCTTAAAAAGGTTCTGCACAGTCGCATGATACCTGAAAAGGTTCCGTACGTGAGGACGAAACCTTAAAAGTTCGGTAATATACCTTTTTATTTAGTGCTCTTCAAAAGAATAATAATCCTTATAATAAATGTTATTTTCTTTCATATCTTCATTCTAAGATCTTCGTCAAAATTCATTGCATAATGAAACAACGTTTTTTAAGAAAAAAAATTACTAAATGACATTTGATACCATGATTTTCTCTTCATATTTAGTTCAATTTTATAAATCCACTGTTTCTTTCACGACTTCTCATCAACTTACACATATTCTTCTTTGTCACGATCATTAATTTATAATGATTGTAAATTGAAGCATTTTGCTTAAACTCCATATTATTTTCATATATTTTGCAAATACTATCAATTTCGTTTTCTTAAGTATTATCAGCAATAGTTATGATATTATTTTCAAGCATTCACACAGATGTTCTCAGTTTGTTGTTAGAGTGAATGCAATTTTGGTAACTTGTTAGTCTTGCGTAATAAAACTGATAAGAAATGTATTCTTGTAATTGATATTCACTCATCTACCGAAATGTCACACTTTGCAGGTTGTAGAATGCCAATACGTAGGAGTCTTTTTCATCGAAATATAAGTTGTTCTAAGATATATTCATAATTTTGTGCATTGATATTTAAAACGCAAAGTATCTATGAATTAAATTCAGGTTGTATTCGAAAGAACTATACAAAACCAAATTAACAATAGATTTCTCAAACACAATTTAAAAAAATATTTCATCCCTAAATTCGAGATCTAATTGGTGATATTGTTTTGTTCCGTCCTTCAAAATATGAGTATTTTCTATCTTTTTTATTTACATAGAATCGTCGTGTTCTATGATTTAATATCAACATTCATATCAATAGAATGATATAAATCTTCTTTCGTTTTTGATTCCTACATTTGATTGACGTCTGAGTCGAAGTAAAATTAAAAAAGAATAATGTTAATATGATAGACATTGATTAATTATCATACACTGAAGAAATATAAAAACATTTGAGATGTCGTATCTATCGGTTTTCTTACAAAATACTAATTGCATTTGATCAATAAATTTCGTTACGCATATAAATCGATAAATAATAGTGAAGTTCTATAAGCTAATAATCCGGTTTGTAAAAAAAAAGAGCGGACGTGATTTAAAGCTTCAAATAATCTCGAGACTATTTTCGAGAAAATTGAATCAAATCAAAATCATTTCACTTGTATTCTAATTTTTTAAACTTACGAAATCATTGAATGTTAATCAGATACTGGCAGTTTATTGAAATCTACGAACGTAATGATATATAAAAAACTTACAAAAACAATGAACAGTTCCAAGCGAAGATTCAAGGCAATAAATAAAAAAAAGCTAAAGCATGAACATGCAATATTAACAAGTTTGCAAGAAAACATTTAGATTGTCAGTGCCCTCGTTGGCGACAATAAAATCCAGCTTGTTATCATTGTTTAAATCGCTGACGGTAACAGAAAATGGAAGAGATCCATAACCAACCGCGAAGTTTTTTGGATTCGCAAATGTACCGTTCCCATAACCAAGGATTACAGCTACGTTGTGAGAGCCATGATTTGCGATGATGAGATCTAGTGCGTTGTCGCTGTTGAAATCAGCAGTGGCAACCATGTATGGTTGAGAATAAGGACCGGTTGAATAAGTTACCTGGTTTGCAAAAGAACCGTTCCCATATCCTAAAAGTACACTTACATTATAATCATTTGAATTAGCAATGACAATATCTATGTTAGTATCGTTGTTGAAATCGCCAGCTGCTACAGACAGTGGATAAACACCTGTTGGATATGTTATTTGATGTACAAAATGGTTATTGCCATATCCAAGGAAAATATCCACATTATTAGTCCCTGAATTAACAATAGCGAGATCCATGTGATCATCATTGTTAAAATCACCGATAGCGAATGACTGTGGCTGTGAACGCTTATCAGTTGACAATGTTATTTCTTTTACAAAAACAATATTTTCCTTTCCAAGAAATACACCAACATTTTTTTCGCCAGAATTTGTAATAACAATATCGGTTCGATTGTCGTGATTGAAATCACCGACAGCTACACACCTTGGATCTACATCAGTGATATATGTCATCGGAGATGCAAAAGAACCATTACCATTTCCGAGAAGCACATTTATGTGGTTGCTCAGTTCACTAGTGAAGACGATATCCAATCGAGTATCTTTGTTGAAGTCAGCAACAGCTAAAAAATATGGATCAGAGCCAGTTGCATATTCTATCGGCTGAGAAAACGAGCCATTGGCATATCCGAGAAGTATATTTATAGTATTATTATTTATATTAGCGACCACGATATCCAATCGATTGTCGTTGTTGAAGTCACCAATGGCTACAGACCGTGGATTGTCACTCGTTGAATACGGCATTTGATTAGTAAACGATCCATTGCCATATCCGAAGAATACACTTACGGTGTATTCCCTAGAATTAGTAACAACAATATCCAATAGATCGTCATTGTTGAAGTAGCCAACAGCTGCAGACGTTGGACCTAAGCCAGTTCGATATGTTGTTTGATTAGAAAAAGAGCCATTACCATACCCTAGAAGTACGCCTATATTGTTGCTATTAGAGTTTACAACGACAATATCCACTCGGGTATCATTGTTGAAATCGCCAACAACTACATACAGTGGATTGGATCCAGTGGGATATGTCAGTCGATTAGCAAAAGAGCCATTTCCGTAACCCAACAGTATATTTATAGTATCGTCATTATAATTGGCGACAACAATATCCAATAGATTGTCATTGTTGAAGTCACCAAGAGCTAATGACCATGGAAAATTCCCAGTGATAGACGTCATTTGGTTTCCAAAAGATCCATCCGCATATCCGAGAAGTACACTTACAGTGTTGTCCTGAAGATTAGCGACGGCTATATCTAGTCGTTTGTCGTTGTTGAAATCACCGACAGATAAAAAGGAGGGGCTAATGCCAGTCGGATATGTTACCTGATCTCTAAAAAGTCCATTGTCAAGCGCAACAAATATGTCAACATTATTAGTCGCATTATATCCAACGATAATCTCCGATTGTCCGTCATTATTAAAGTCAGCAGTAACGATGATGAAGGGAGTGAAATTCGAACCGAATCGATCACTTACTTGACGTTCAAATGTTGCGTTTCCCTTTCCAAGAAGTATATCAACATTTTTTGAGTCGAAATTGGTCACTGCGATATCCACTTGGGAATCTTTGTTAAAATCACCAATGGCGATTGAATACGGATGAGAATTTGAGCCAATTGTAAACAGGATCTGACTTTCAAAAGTGCCATTCCCATGGCCAAGGATAATACCAACATTATTAGTGCCATAATTAGCAACGACGATGTCTACTTTTTTATCCTTATTTAAATCGCTAGCAGCAACACATCGAAGACTAGAAGCACCACCAGAGGCAAATGTTGTTTCCAATGCTAAAGCTCCACTGCTATAATGAAGTAGTACACTCACATTATCGTGACCCGAATTTGTTACGGCCATATCCGGTAGACCGTCTTTGTTGAAATCTCCGACACCCACAGATGATGAATATAAACCAGTGGAATATGCTACTGGATTAGCAAACGAACCATTGCCGTATCCGCGAAGCACACTTATAGTGCTACTATGAAAATTAGTGACCGCTATATCGAGTCTAGTATCATTATTAAAATCACCAACGACAACAGAGTGTGGATTAAAGCCACTAAAATATGTTATTTGATTAGCAAAAGAACCATTTCCATATCCCAGAAGTATACCAACTTTATGGTTATCAAAATTAGTAACGACTATGTCCATTCGGTTGTCATTATTGAAATCACCAACGGCTATAGACATTGGACGAGAACCAGTAGGATATGTCGTTTGATTAGCAAAAGAACCATTACCATACCCGAGAAATACACCTAAAGTCTCCTGATCAGTGTAAGTGACGATCATATCCAATTGACTGTCGTTGTTGACGTCAGTAGCAGCTATAAAGTAGGGATGCAAACTAGTGGGATATGTGATTGGATTAGCAAAAGAGCCATTATCATATCCGAGAAATATACCCACAATGTTGTCAATAGAGAATGTGACGGCAATATCCAATTGACTGTCATTGTTAAAATCACCAACAGCTAAAGCTTCTGGTCTCCAGTGAGTGGGATATGTCATCTGATTAGCAAAAGAACCATTACCAAATCCGAAAAGTATACTTACATTAAAGTCATCAAAATTAGTAGCGACGATATCTAATAGAGCATCGCTGTTGAAATCACCAACAGCTATGGACTTTGCACCCGATCCAGTAAGATATGTCATTTGATCAGCAAATGAACCATTTACATATCCGAGAAATACACTTACATTGGAGGAGTAAAGATTAACAACGACTAGATCCAATCGGGTGTCATTATTGAAATCACAAACAACAATCGATTGTGGAAAAGAGTTAGCAAGATACGTCGTTTGCTTTGGAAAACCTTCATCGAAGCCGAGAAGGACACTTATACTGTTAGTATCATTGCTCACAATTGTGATATCTAGTCGATAATCGTTGTTGAAATCTCCTACGGCAACTGAGATTGAAGAAGAAGATCCAGTTGAATACATTTTTGAATTTTCAAAAGTGCCATTGCTTCTTCCAAGAAGTACACCTATGTTGCTGGCACCTCTATTAGTTACGACTATATCAAGTAGATTGTCCTTGTTGAAATCACCAGTAACAAGATAATATGGAGCAGCAGTATCCAACAAATATGTTGCCTGACGTGCAAAAGTTCCATTTCCATAACCCAGAAGTATACCAACATTATGAGTCCCATAATTAGCAACAGCAATATCTAGAAGCTTGTCACCATTGAAATCACCAACAACAACTGCGTATGGATGAGATCCATAATCTGTGGAAAATGTCTTTTGATATGCAAAGCTACCATCACCAGTTGCAAGTAGTACGCCAACATTGTTTGTGCCAGAGTTGGCAACGACAAGATCTAGTTGATTATCATTGTTGAAATCTCCAGAGACGACTGAAAATGGCAGAGAATCGTAGCCTGTTGAATACATGATTGGACTTGAAAAACTTCCGTTTCCATATCCAAATAGTATACTTATATTGTATGAACCATAGCTAGAAGTAACAATGTCGAGTAATGCATCATTATTGAAATCAGCAGTGTGTATCCAAAGTGGACGTGATGAAGAAGTTGAAGTCACTATTTGTTTTGTAAAAGATCCATTTCCAAATCCAAGAAATATGCCTATACTGTTAGTACCGAAATTGGCGACCGCAATGTCTAACCAATAATCATTGTTGAAATCACCGACTGTGACCATATACGGGGAAGATCTGTCACCAGTTAAGTACGTGATCTGGCTTTCAGAAGTGCCATTACCATATCTGAGAAATACAGCAAGCGAGTCAACAGCATGATTAGCCACAACCAAGTCTAGCCAAGTATCACGGTTGAAATCGCCAACAGCAACAGATCGAGGACCATATTTATATTCAATCAGATCTGGAGTCTTTAATACAAAGTTCAGCTGACATTTTTTGTCTACACAATAAAAGAAAAATCATCGAAAAGTAATCAGTTGGTCGAATGTAGGAAACTGTGAGACTACTGTCTTTTTGGTTCCGACTCCAATTAAAATTGTTTTCTGCTTCCGATTCTGACCTCAGCTAAATTTTTTTATTGCTTCTGGTCCTGATTTTGTTTCTAGAAAAAAACGATTTTTTAAATAATCTGGATGATTTTTTGAATACATATAAAATTAACATTGATAATTTTGAGAAATTAATAGTATGAGCATACCTTTGTGTGCATGCATCAGAACTAGGGATATACAAAATCATTTGTTTTGTCTGACTGAAAATTTCTTTTCGTTCTGACTATGTGACTTAAAAAATTCTCTCAGAGTTCACAGTTCTTGCATAGATAAAAAATCTAAATGAATGATCTTCAATTGGTGTTCCCTCAAGAGTCACTTTGATGATATCAAAATTTAGGATCGGCAGAATTATGGGTACCATTTTTAGTAGGAACCTCCAAGATGATTCAGAGTTCCAGTCTAGGATCAAAAAGAGTGATTTGGCAGATCAATACTTTTATCACAATCATAAATAAAAGGGGCCAATTTGAAGATCCTTGGTCAGAACAAAATAACACGTACGAAAATATTTAGTCTAGTTCTTACACTGAAAATATACCGGGTCCAGTTTAGCAAGCTATGAGTCTCTATAACTTTTTTTATGGCTACTTCGATCAAATTGGAGTGTGTTTTTTTTGAAAATATTGTGCCGATGAAGTTTTGTAGATTTTACAAAATTAGCACCATCCAAAAAAACTGTTTTAATGACTTTTTAATAGTACCTCCAGTGTTTTGCTTCTCCTGAGCTCCAGAAACAATATTTTTTAAAGAAAAAAAAATACCACATCAAGATTTGTTTCCGGTTGCTACAGAAAAAAACTTAGCCCTTAAAAGCATAGTGTGACCGTTTCCGAGGGGGAAAATTTCAGGTCATTTTTGGCCTTTCACCTCCCAAAATCTCCCGGATGAAAGCATTTTGAAGTTTTCATTCTATGACAACTTTTGTTCTTCTCATCAAGGTCTATCTACCCTGAAAGTTTCAAAAATTTTCGTCGAACCGTTCTCAAAAAACCTCGGCGAGGGAGGGTGTTATGTCGTTAGATTTGAATGAGACGCAATTATTAAATATGTCAAGTGCCACAATAACTTGAATTGGCAAGTGATAAGAATAAAACGAATAAATATCGAATATGAATCAAGATCCAAAGTATATTAGTAAACAAGAAATTTGACAGAAGTAACTTAATGAACAAGTAAGAAGTAGAAGTAAGAAGTTAAATTATTAGTCTTATTATTTTATAAAAACATAGAGTGAGTTAGATAAATATTAATAATAATAATGAAGCGTGGAAAAAGGAAAAACGAAATTAAAGACAGAACAAATATATACACATACACAACAAACATCAATATAATAAGATCAGTGACGATGTTGTCGTCATAGAGGGGCCATAAAATCAAAATTTGGTCCTGATCACGGTCCCGACGGGACCAAGACCAGTTTGCAGGTCTTTACTCGAATGTTGCTGTTTATTCGTGTCTGATTATTGGATCGTATCAAATTATTGAATTTCAATAATATAAAATGGGAAAAATTATCTGATTACTACACTCCAATCCGAATCGACATCATCAATTTCGTATAGAATTCCATTGTATTTCCTGATTGTCAGTTAGGCTTACATACAATTATATCGGCCAGCTTACTTTTTCATTCATTTTCTACCATCTACTGTCGAGGTTTTTTTAAATAAGGCTTGGTTCATGCGAAAAGAATAGTATGAGTATGGATCATACAATGTATGGAACTGTGAGGGTCAAAAATAATTTCTTTTCAATCATACAATGTCCTCTCTGGTATAGATTTTAGCATAAATCTAATACAATTTGTAAACACTTGTATGTTTTCTTAAGAGATCAATTTTATGCACACCTTTATAAGATATATAGTTTCGCGCGCATGTTAAACCATTAAAATCTGCATAAGAATCTAGAAATCTGATTGTTGTTATTTTAGTCAACTTAATAATTTTCTTTCGCATTTATTATCAGATAAAAAGTAGAAATTTGCTAAAAGCACGAAATATACACATTTTGTCTTAAAGAGTGTTTTACTAGCTCGAAAACTATTTCAAAATTCACGATCGTTCTAAAGAATATGATGAAATCTTTAAAAATTTGAGCTATTTAGATTATAATAGTGATCTTTTAGAATCTTCAAGATAGCATCTCCAAATGAATTTAATTTATATATAGAAAAATGATTTCTATATCAAGACAAACCAAAGAACATACTTTTTGATTTTGGTGAAGTAAAACAAATTGTCAGTATAGCAACAACTAATATTATACTTATGAATGCAGTAAGTGTACATATAAGTATTGATGTTTGGTGTCTTGAGTAACAAGAAATGCTCCTAATAAAAGCATTATTTATATTATGATGATTGAGAAAAAGAAGAATGAGATATACCAAAGTATTTTTTTTTGTTGAGTTTGCACTTGTTTTTTACTGACGCTGCTAATTTCTTGTATTTCAGATTGAACTTGTGTTGAATTCTGCATTAGTTGATGAATGCTATGAGAATATTTTTCATCATGAAAGTGTTCGATAGAAGTAGCATCGCAGTTCATCGAGTTTACATTCATCTATGATAAATAAAACATCCGCTATTATAGTGCTCTCAGTACACTAATTGAATGTAATTAGAATGATTTTCTTTATCTTATTGCTTGAATTATGGATTAGGTCTTTGTCATGTGGATAAGCTGTAATTTTCTAATAAAAATCTAAAATTAGAAATCAAAATTATTTACTGATTCTTATTTAAAAAGAAACAGTACAGAAGTTAACAAATTGGCAATCATTTTAAGCGCATTGTTTCTGAAAGAAAAACAAACTTTTAGTTTATCGGAAAACACAATATTACATTAGTTAAACTTTATCGAAATGTAAAAATAGTTGAAAAGACAGAAATGAGTGCTTTTTATACAAGTAACGCTCATCTGCGGGCTCGCTCAGCTCTTTCTCGTAGAAATGCTGTTCCTGAACTTTCAACAAACTGTTTATTTGCACGATTTCAAAGAGCGAAACAAGCACATTTGCGCTCTGTTTTTCTGTTAAGTTCATCTAGACGTTTCAGTTTAGCCACTTGAGCAGGAGAAGGTCGGACTTGTAGGACTTTCATGTGCAAAGGCCGAAGAATGGCCACATCTTCCGCTCTCTTCATTCTACTGAGTTGTATGTATATTGATGCCATTTGCAATGTTCCCAGTGGAACTTGAAGATCGATCACGATTTTCTTAATTGTGAGTCCTTGCGCCTTATAAGCACTTGTTGTGAAGGCAGGCACGATTGGCAATTGCGTTCTTGTGACTTGAATCACTTCTGGAACTTTTCTTCCTCCTTGTTCACGTTCAAACAACCAACCGAAGAGTTGCTTGATATAAATAGTAAATTCTTTTTTAGACCAGTGGGAAACGGATCAGTTTGGGACGAAGACTATCGTGGTTTCTTTCCACTTGTGATGTGTTGATTTCCATGAGTAGTGCATACAACGGTTTACGCACATAGATCGTATTTGAGGGAAACACTTCACTCTTCACCTTGAAAACAGCCGAATTCTGATGATCATCGTATACGAACTCTCGAAAAATTCCTTGAATGCCGTTCGCGAGTCCTAGTTCGCAGTCAATGTTATCAGTGAGAAGCACGGGCATGTTTGGTACGAAAGGTAGGAGGCCAGGAAGAAGCTTAGTTTTGTTGTCAGGCAGATGGTTTTCACTTGAGGTCTCTCTTGAGAACGACAGCTGTCAATTATTACGCCCTAGCACATGGAACCATCTATTTCTATGCATGATATCTATTGGCACATTTAACTATCGCCGATATCTTAGTTCTAGAGACTTTCTTTCATAAGAAATATTTCGTAAATCTTACTACTCGTTACTCTTGCTATATTATTAACAGAAACTAATCATAGGTTTCAATTTTTTACCTACAATAGCTTTTGATCAATTTTTCTAGACAAAAAAACTTACTAAAAACAGAAGTAAAAGAAAAGTAAGACTGACCTCAGATTCGAATTTCCTCCTCGGATTACCTTTGGTCAAGATTTAGAAAATATTAGTAGTTAATAATTAGTTAATTGAAATCTAATATCGGATCCAAATTCTCCACCCTCAACTATCTTTGATCAAGTTTTTGAGACAATCATCTCTTTTGTTCTCGCATTGGTCTCGAACCAATCAGTGAAGTGCGAACACACAAGCAAGCAGATAATTTATGTTTGCTGGTCTCTTCTCTACGAAAAAGAGAATTATAAGAAGACAGACTTTCATACGACATAGATTTGTTGTAGATCTTTCTTATTGTCTTACGTAATTACAATTATTTCTCAGAACATAGTCTCTTTCTTTTTTCTTTAATTGATAAGTTTCAAAATTTCTATATTCTATTGATGACTTTTTTCTGATCTTATTGTTTTTGTTTTATCTCAAGATATTTTATCAGAAAATTTATCTAGTTACACTTACAATTTCGATCTAATTTGAAATAAACAACAAATTGAGTAGAAATCATAAGAATGATAGTAGATAAGACACTAGAAGCAACCTGCGATCCAAGCATGTAATAGATGAATTAGCATCATGATTGTTTTTTTTTTGAATTATTGAATTTAGTTAAATCTTTAGATTTAGCTTTCGTACTATCTAACATACAGGGTGGCCCAAAAGTCACTTTA